CCTATCCACCCCCTGTAGTTAGAATTTTTGTTTGGGACTATTCCCTTCCTTAATCTACTGTCTCTCTTTACTTGCCTTTCCCCCTCCTGTTTCCCTGTTGAGAAAATGTATTTCTGCATTCTATTCTGTGTCTTCCTTCCTTTCACCAATTCCGATGGTAGTGAGATTCAAGTGTGGCCTGCTCCCCCTTCCGCTTTCTTCTTGTTTGTACAGCCTTCTACTTGCATACTCAAATTACGTGAGAATTTTTCCCACCCTTCTCTTTCCTCCTCTTTGCTTTCTTTTAAGATTATGGAAAGATTAAAAAAAACCTATCCCAGGGCCTCTGTCTTATTAGACTCCCTTTATCACCCTTGATTATAGTTCTCTTGGGGACACATATATCATTTCTCCCTATATTAGAATGTAAACACTTCATTTTTGTTTAATGAAGGGGAAGGAGAAAGGGAAGGGAAAGGAATAAGCATTTCTGTAGCATCTACAGATTACTTATTTGTAGTCCTTTATGATTGCTTGCTCCTAATTTCCTTTTCAAATGTTAGAGAAACTTGCTGCAAAGATTATTTCTCAGTTAACTGTTTCCCTTTGAATTCTAACTTTGTTGATTTCATTTGTACAAAATATTTTTAGCTCCTTTATGTTTATCTCCCCAATTAGATTGTGAGCTCCTTGAGGGCAGGGATTGTTTTTTACCTTTCTTTGTCTCCCCAGAGTTTAACACTACCTTAATTAATGTTTATTGACTGATAAGATGCCAGGACTATTAATAGAGGTAGAATCAATTAAGACTTGGCCTTTGGATATCTATGGTAATGGAAGAAAAGTCAAAGACAGCCAAGGTTATGAATCTTGTTTAACATAGTTAATCTATATTATATGTATTAATTGTGATGCTGTCCTGTAAATATCTATCTAAATATCATCATTCTGCCTTGCCAAATATAAAGAACAGTGCTTAGTGAGAAAATGAGGACTTTAATCAAACGGGAGTTTATCAATCAGCTGTTAGGTGTTTATAGCAATAAAGTCTTACTCTGATGCCCTGTCATGATGTGAAAGTGACCTTGGTTTCCCAGAGGCAATACACTAGTAGCCTATAAGCCTGGACAGATAACTAACATGTATTTTTTTAAGGCAATCAGGATTAAGTGACCTGCCCAGGGTCATACAAGTTAGTAAGTGTCAAGTGTCTGAGGTCAAATTTGAACTAAGATCTGACATCAGGACACATGCTACCGCTGCCTAGCTGCCTGTAGCATATATAAGTGAAGCCTGAGAAGGAATATTATTAGATCTTGTACAATTAGCACATACACTAAAATTGGAATGATACAAAAAAGATTGGTATGGCTCCCTGCTCATGAATGACACACAAAATATTTTTCAGTAGCAGCATGGCATAGTTGATAAAGAAATCTGGCCTTTAAATCAGGAAGGACCTGTGTTTCAAGTTTCTCCTGATACACTGGCTCTATGACCCTGGGCACATCACTGTCTATCTATCTAAGACTGTATGTTATAAAGAGTATGCCTACCTGCATTGGTAAAGGGAGTTTCCTCATCTGGGAAGTGGAGGAAAATCACAGGTCTGTGCCTCAACCTCAAATCTCTTATTATAGAAGAATAAAGTGACTTAATCAGGTCATACACACCAGAGTTTGAACATCATTGCCCTGTGTCTTCTCTGTAAAATGCAACTGGAATTGTTCTTGACCTGCACTCTTCCATATTTCTCCCATCAGAGTGTTCCACTTCCCCTTTTATCTCTTAAATTGGGATTCAGGTGGAGTACCATTGTATATTAAGATACTCATGTGAAAAAAAAAAAAAAGGCAGGGGCAGAAAAGTGGCACAGTGGATAGCACTCCAGCCTTGGAGTCAGGAGGTTGTGAGTTCAAATCCAGCCTTAAGACACTTGACATTTATTAGCTGTGTGACCCTGGGCAAGTCACTTAACTCCAATTTCTTCACCAAAAAAAAAATCATGTGAGAAGCAGCAGGATATAGTGGAAAGAACACGACTTGGGGAGCAGAAAATTCCTGAATATCCGAATCCTATTTTACTTTAGACATATGACCGCGGGCAAATCCCCTTCCCTTTTCTAAATCTCTTCCTCATCTATTGAATGGGGATAATATTTTTAACCTAAGTAGTTAGGGTTGTTTTGAGGATTAAATGAGCTAATATATTTGAACTATGTTACAAACCTTATAGTACTACATAAAAGTTGTCGTATTATTGTTAGTATTATATGAGGAAATCCAGGAACTAGAGCAGGTTGTTGCCAAGCTGGATTTGGAATCAGAGAACCTGATTTTGAATGCTGCTTCATACTATCTATTTTTAACTTTTTTGTTTTTTGGTCTAGGCAATGGGGTTAAATGACTTGCTCAGGGTCACACAGCTTGTAAGTGTTATGTGTCTGAGGCCTCATTTGAACTCAGGTCCTCCTGAATCCAGGGCTGGTGCTCTATCCACTGGGCAACCTAGCTGCCCCAGTTGGTTTTTTTGTTTTGTTTGTTTTTGTTGTTGTTTTTAGGAAGCTCATTTATGCCCTATTCAATTTCTTTTTCTAAAATAAGTTTATTTAGATATTTCCTTATCTGTTAATCCACAGTTTTTTAACTTTTGTTTTTAAAATTTTGTGTGTGTTCATCATTTCTTATAGCACAATAGTATTCCATTACATTCATATACCACAACTGTTCAGCCATTCCCTAATTGATGGACATCCTCTCAATTTCCAGTTCTTTGCCATCACAAAAAGAGCTGCTATAAATATTTTTGTACATGTGGGTCCTTTTCCCTATTTGTTTGATCTCTTTGGGATACAGCCCTAGAAGTGCTATTGCTGGGTCAACAATGGTTTTCTTACACTTGATTTTATTTATCTCACCTTAAAATTAAAGAATACCAATTTGGTGCTTAATTGGGGATTTTCACTTTGTTCTTTTTCTAGTTTAATTGCACACCCAATTCATTGATCTGCTCTTCTTCTGGTTTAATATAACCATTTAGATAAATTTTTCTCTGATTACTACTTTTGGTGCATCCCATAGGTTTTGATAAAAGTCTCATTGTTGTCATTCTTTTTAATGAAATTATTGATTGTTTCTATGATTTATTCTTTAACTCACTCATTCTTTTTTAAAATATTATTTAATTTTTACTTTTCAACATTCATTTCCATAAGATTTTGAGTTCCAAATTTTCTCTCCTCCCCTCCCCGTCTTTGCCCCAAGATGGCATGTAATCTGATATAAACCCTACATATACATTCATGTTAAACATATTTGCACATTACTCATATTCTAAAGAAGAATTAGAACCGATAGGAGGAACCCTGAGGAAAAAAAGAGAGCAAACAGTATGCTTCCATCTGCATTCAGACTCCATAGTTCTTTTTCTGGATGTGGGATAGCATTTTCCATCATGAGTCTTTTGGAGTTGTCTTAGATCCTTGCATTACTAAGAGACAAATCTGTCAAAGTTAGTCATAGCACAGTGTTGCTGTTACTGTGTACAATATTCTCCTGGTTCTTCTCACTTCGTTCAGTATCAGTTCATGAAAGTCTTTCTATAACCTACTCATTCTTTAAGATTAGTCTGTTTTGTCTCCAGTTAGTTTTTAATTTGCATTTCCATAGTATCTTATTGAATATACTTTTTATTTCGTTGTGATCTGAAAAGGATGCATTTAATATTTCTTATTTTCTGCATTTAACTATAAAAGTTTTTTATGCCCCAATATACGGCTAATTTTTGTAAAGGTACCATGTACCACTGAGAAAGGTATATTCCTTTCTGTTCCCATTCAGTTTTCTTCAGATAGCTACCATACTAGTTTATCTAAGATTCTATTCACCTCCTGAACATATTATTTGTTTTCTGTTAGATTTCTCTAATTCTGTCTAAATGTCATCATTCTGCCTTGCCAAATATAAAGAACAGTGCTTAGTGAGAAAATAAAGTGAGGACTTTAATCAAACAAGAGTTTATTGATCAGCTGTTAGGTGTTTATAGGAATAAAGTCCTACTCTGATGCCCAGTCATGATGTGAAAATGACTTTGGCTTCCCAGAGGCAATACACTAGTAGCCCATAAGCCTGGACAGATCCTGCCACTATTAGAGTATTACGGTCTATTTCCCTATAATCTGCATTCCTCACATGCAGTAACATCCATCAACACTAATGGACCACAAATTTGTTTAGCCATCCCCTAACTCATTGGGCATCCATAGACTTCAGTGTTGTTACCATTAAAAGATGCTACAATGAATATTTATGTGTGCACCTGTGCACCCATGCACAGTATATATAGACTTCTTTCTTTGGATTAAGGTCTATGTCTGGCAATGGGATTACTAAGACAAAGGGTATGAATAGTTTAGTGACTCCTCATACTTACAAATTATTTTTCAGAACAGTTAGCACAATTTACCAAAATCAGCAGCATATTAGTATGTTTATCTTATTTCTATATTCTGCATTATTTCTGTATTTTGTAGCTGTTCCCAGTTTGCTGATATGTGGTAAGACCTTGGTGTTTTTTTTAATTTGCATGACTTTTATTAATGATATGTTAATGAAATGGTCTCACTTTGCAAAGCTCAATGCAGAGGTAATTTAATCATAATAAAGGGAATCAAGAAGCATTTTATTATTGATAAATACCATGTTTTACTTGAACCCTAATATCGAGATTGTTCTTAAGGAAAAAAATTATTTAAATATTAGGGTCAACCTTTTTCCTTTTTGGGGGTTATGGAACTATGGGTGTAGAACATTGCCTGTGCTGTTAAACTTGGTTTGTTGAATTGTCTTTTGTTTTTATTATGAGGGGTGGGTGGGGGTGGGGATAGAGATGTTTGGAAATATGAAAAACTATTTTAATGAGAATTTTTAACAGGAAAAATGTTTTTAAAGCAATAAAAATAATGTAAAAATTGTTATCAGACGAACATGACCTTTGTTTTTCCTCCCCCTCTTAATTTTAGTGTGTTCCTCGATTATTGGCAAATAGACTTGGGACGCTTTCAACAGTTAAAGTAACAAGCCATTCGAATGATGCTCAGCCAGAACCTACAAAGCCTATTGGTCGTTATCCTATTCCTTATAAAAAGGAACTACCTTTTGATATAGTGGAGCTTATGGAAGAGGTGGAAAAAAAGGTATGTTTAAAAAATTCAGAAATAAACATAACCTCATGAATTTCTACAATTATGTTAATACCTACTTACATACCTGACCTTTGGATTACTTTTCTTTTAATGGACATTTCTGTTAAGCACCTACAATACTGCTATAGTTAATGGTTGGTTTTAATACCTATCCCCACTCATGTAGTTTAGCTCGGTCCCCATTATATCATTATTTTAATAATTGTTAATGGTCATATTTATCCTTACATTTGTTTTATTTGGCATATTTATATGATATAGGATTATATTGTAATAGTTGATAATTATAATGTTTCTAACAAGAATTATAGCAAAATTATAATAATATATTATAACAATGTTGTAGCTAATTACTTATATTTATATAGTACTTTGTAGTTTATAAAATGCTTCTATATACATCATCTCATTTGCTCTTCAACAATTGTGTGATACTCAGGTCATGTATTATACTGTTCAACATATGATAAATTTGGACCCACAAATGGAATTTACCAGTCACCCAATGGTATTGAGTTACATGTGAATTTAATATAAACTATGAGGCAGCTGGTTAGCTCAGTGGATAGAGAGCTGGGCTTAGAATCAAGACAGTAGCTGCCCTCAAAGAAGCTCACAGTCTAACGTGGGGGGCGGCGGCGGCAACCAGACAACTATACACAAACAGGCTAAATTGCAGGTCAGCCGAGGGAAGACCCTAGTATTAAGGTGATCAGGAAGAAGGAACAAGATCTTCATGGGAAGAACAATCATCCGAAGACAGAGGAGGTCCCCAGCCTTCTCCTGCCCCCCATTCTGCTCATCTGGCCTGTCTGTCTCCTTTCCCCTGACCACAGGATCTCTGGAAACAGTCTGGACCATTGGGGAACCAAAGCACAGAAAAGGCCGAGTAGGTTGTTAGTTGTCTCCCTGTGGTTTGAAGGTCATTGGAGAAGGTTCCATGTTCCATGAGCCTGTCATGGTACCTGAAGTTCCACCATAAGATTCATTCTTTGGGGCCTTTTTTGTTGTCAACTGAAAGTGATATACTTACGGGTAAAATATTGAGTGGTTATCAGCTTATATCTCAAGGAGGATCTTGGAAAGGAGCCATAGCTTTTGGGGATGGAAGGCTGGACTGGCAAGTTGGGAGAAGGGGACATTATTAGGGGAAAGTAAAGATTGCCAATAACAAACTTCACCTCCTTAAGAGTTTTGCCCTAATAAGATTCCTTGGTAAGGAAACTCCTTTTAATGCATGCTGCTATCTTCTGTAACTTAATAGTCTTAGAGAGTCTAAGGTATAGAGAGGTTAAGTCATTTAGCAAGAGTCACAGTTTGTTAGAATCAGGACTTGCTTCTTGGCTTTGAGGCCACCTTTCTATCTACAATTACACTCAGTGCTAGGGAAAACAATGAAAAAGTAGTAATAGTTCTTGCCCTCAAGCAGCTTTCATTCTAAATATAAATTGGTATATTCAAGATGCATACAGAGTAGATGAAGGTAACCTTGTCTGGGAAGGCACTAACAGCTGGAGGGAGGAAATGAGAAAGGCCTCCTGTATAAGGTCACATCTGAGCTGAGTCTTGAGGAAAGTCTGGGATTGTAGGAGATGGAGGTAAGGAGGGAGAACGTTTCTTTACTTGGACAGCCAGGGCAAAGGTGTAGGAGACAGGAGACTGAGACCTGAGTATGAGAAATGGCCAAGTAGGCCAGCAGACCTAGACTGTAGAATACATGAAGGGCAGTAAAACTAGAAATATAGGGACGGACCAGATGGTGAAGGACTTTAAATGCCAAACAGCTTATATTTGATTTGTAGGGGTAATCTGAAGCCCCTGGAGTGGGGAGGGGAGCAGCAGATCTATTGAAGTAGAGAGATTTCAGGCAGGGAGATTTAATTAGAATGTTGTTTTAGTAGTCCAAAATAAGAGATGGTCTGGACGAGGACAGTGGTTGTGTGAGTAGATAGAAATGCATATATCAGAGAAAAAGAAATGGCAAGATTTGGCAATTGATTGGTTATGTGGGATGAGTGAGAGCTGAGGATGATGCCTGGAAGAATGATGGTGCCCTCAACAGTAATGAGGAAATGGGGTCTGTTTTAGATATGTTGAGTTTTCAATGCCTGTAGGACATCCGGTTGGAAATGTCCAGTAGGCATTTGATAATGTGGGAGTGGGGTTTGAGACTAGAGTCATCTAGAAAGAGATGGTAATTGAACCTATGGGAGACATGGGATTACCAAGTGAGAGAATATAGAGGTAATAAAAGATCAGCCCGAGGGCAGAAACTTTACACCAGGTTAGTGGTCATGTAGTGGGTAACAAACCAGCAAAGGAAAGGAGGAGTGATTAGATAGGTAGGAGAACCAAGAGATCACTGTCATGAAAAGGAAGAGAAGAGAGCATCTAGGGGCAGCAAGTGGTCAGCAGTCTTAAATGCTGCAGAGAGGTCAAGGAGGTGTGAGGAAAGGCCATTACATGTTCCAAGTTAATCTTGGAGAAGTTTCAATTGAATGATAAAGTTAGAAGACAGATTATCAAGTCAGATGAACTAGCATTTATTAAGTTTTTACTATGTGCCAGGCATTGTATTAAGTCCTGGGAATATAAATACAAGCAGAAATACAGTCCCTGCCTTCAAGGAGCTTACATTCTAACAATCAACACGTAAAAAGAAGCTGAAAAGGAAAGAAGAGACAAAGAAGATACCTTAAGTGAGGGCATGGTGAGAAAGTCAGGAGTGGGGGTTGGAGAGAAGTCCCCAAGCTCCCAGCCATGGTTGGCCTGGAAGTTTTCCTCAAAATGGAGGTTCAGGGAAGAACCAGTCAATCAGACAAAGAGGCTGCTGAGGTAGGGTGCTTCCAGTGTGAGAAGTCCAGAGGCAGAATGAATTTCCAGGGTGATAGGCTTCATAGCATGGTAAGGGAAGTCCAGAGAGGAGTTTGGAGAGGAATTAAGAATTGCAGAGGGTTTAGAAGAGAGAGGAGAGGAAGTGGGCCAAGTGTGGACGGCTTTTTCAACGACTTTAACTGAGGAGGTGGAAGAGAAGAAACATAGGATGATAACTATCAGAGATGGCAGGATCTAGTGAGAGTCTTTTTACAAGGATGGGAGTGTTTTCAGATGTGTTTCTGGTAGCAGGAAAGGAACTAGCACATAGGGTGAGATTGAAGATTAGAGGAGAGAATAGAGGTGATAGAGTGGGCTGTCTTTTGGAGAAGATAGATAGGTTGGGATCAAGATTCTAGTAAAGGATGCTGACCATTTTTATGTCAACTTCTGATGTAGCCTCTAATCCCATGTAGTGATTGCTAAGTAAATATTAATCTTTGATATTGATTTCTCTTTTTTAAAAACAGACTGGATTTCTACCCAATGTCTTTAAGGCATTAGCACATCGACCAGAGGAATTCAGAGCATTTTTTGCTTACTACAATGCCATTGTCAACAAAGAAACAGGTAAAGTAAAAGAAAACATAGTTATTCATGGATACTTTTAATTTATTTTTAAATATATTTTTATTTTGTTAAGTATTTACAAATTCAAAAAAAATAAATTTTGAGTTCTAAATTCTCTCCATCTCTCACGCTCGTCCCCTACCCCTTGAGAAGGCAAGCAATATATCATTTATACATGTTAAGTCATACAAAACATGTTTCATGGATCTTTTTTTAAAAAAGAATATGGTAGATAGTCATAGCTCACAATTCGGTTAAAAGGAATCAAGTAACCTGTATTTTCTAGTTCATAATGTCCAAGCATAGTCTAAGACTATTAAGCTGAGGCTAGTGCATTATTCCCTTAGCCTAATTTCCAGAGGAAACATGAATCAGGTCTTGATCTTATCTCTTTTCACTTTCTTCTAGATCTTGAAGCTTCAGTGTCTCCCTCTTTGCTGACTCCTGCCTGTGCCTTAAAACATGAAAATGTCTCCCCCATCTTGAAAAAAATCTTTGCTTGAAAAAAAATGACCCTTCTCTCTTTCTACCATCTTGCCAAACTTCTCTGACAATTGGTCTGTTCTACTCCAATTCTCTGCAGTTCTCTCCTTTACCTTCAATGGTCTGGTTTTTTTTCCCCCTTTGCTGTGTAAGAATAGCCCTCTTGAATCTTCTGGCTGGAGTAGTCAGGGAAGGAGGGCATTCCAGAGGAGGTGGGGCTTTGAAGGATAGGTGGGATCTGAACAGATGGAAAGGAAGACAGAAGCCCAGTGTTCCAGATAATACCAGGAAATCACAGTAGGAAAAATGACCTTCAGGTTAAAGTGCTAGCCAGGAGGTATAGGCTACCTAGCATGGTTTGTAGGATTATTTAGATTAAAAAAGGCTGCCTTGGAAGAGGGGGAAGGGTTTTTTTTATTTGACTTGAGTGGTTGATTTGACTTGAATGATTCATTTGGGTGGTTTTCAGTGCTGCAAAATTGCCTCTCCCCAATGTCTTTTGGTCAATTCACTGTGAAATGCAGATACTTAACCTTGGTGATGACAGTCTCTATTTAAACTTTATTCTTTTCAAAATGGCTCTAAGCTCTGTGCATTTATTTCTGTTACTTATATACACATATTTTCCATTTCAGTGATTTGTGTACAAATATTTTCCTGTTTTCTTTTTTTAATAGGACATCTCAGCAAGGCTGATAAAGAACTCATCATTGTAGCTACAAGTGCTACTAATAGGTGCCCCTACTGTGTAATTGCCCATAGTGCTCTACACAGAATATATTCCAAAAATGCTATTCTGGCTGATCAGGTTAGTATTTAGATTGAAAAGAAAATAAAGCCTCTTCCTGCTAAGTCTATTTTATGGGCAAGAGCTCCATTTGACCTCAGCCTTGCTTAAAGGAATTACTAATTGCATAAAAGGCAGAATAGCTGCTTGTCTTATTAGCTTATAAATGTTTGATTATCTATCAGTAAGGTTTTGTGCTTTGGGGTTTAATTCTTGTTCTACGGCTAATTTTTTTTTTTGCACATGGCAGTTCATGCTATACAATACTGTTCTAAGTTGGTAGCTGCAAAAGTCATTTAACCTTCTTGTGTCTTGGTTTTCTTATCTCTAAAATGAGAGGGTGATGCTCATGTGCTTCGATGTGAACATTCCATTTGTGCAGATAGTTTTAACACCATCCTTAAATTTATATTTATGCAATCCTTGATAATATCATTTACATTCACATAGCCCACACCTGGTTCTTCTAAGATAGTATTTGTTAAATATTTTCAAACCTTGGCCGGAGCCATAGCTAGTAAAGGGTGAGCAGGGCCTTGTTCTAGGGCTCTGACAGTTTATTTTTATTTTTTTATGAGGAGGGAGGGGGAAATTGATTCCTTCTTGGGGCTAATATAATGGCCATATGCTGCCATGTGACATAACTGCCCCTCTCATTACTGTGACTTGCACCAGTGGTCAGACTGTCCCTTTTGCTGCTGTTGCCCTCAACTACTTCCCCCTTGCACAAGTGTTTTTGTTCTATGTGAAAATATTTCTAGTTATGGTTCTATCATACGTAACTAGTGCAATTATCTAAACTTTCTAGGACATAGTAATGTGCCTAAACTTGAAATTGAACAATTTTTATATTTAACTGTCTTAATTTTTTTATTCTCTTAATTTTTTTAAAGTGAACTATCAATCCATGATGAATAAATGCATAATCAATTTGAGGAGGAAGCCAACTGTGGTAGCCAAAACTAGTTGTTTTTGTTTGTCCTTCCACTCTCAAAGAGGACCATGATATCAGGGAGGTGATGTAATGACTTGCAAGTGAATTGAATTTAAGTGAGGGAGGGCTGTGCAGTCATCAGCCTCACTTTCTCCTCTGGAGTCAATACTATCATAGACAGGACACCAAACATCAAGCAAAGAGCCTAAACTCAGGAAATACTTCCCACAATATCACTGGAACTTACAAAGTACTGTTACTGACAATGAGGAAAAACTGTTAAATTGGCTTTGTACACATGATTAAGCTGCCAACAGGATGAAACCTAGTAAGCTGAAACAGCTTGTTAAAAGCATAGAATACATTGACAAGACAAATTTTCCCTGATAAAATGAGATGCTTTTAATAAGCAAAACCAAACTTTCAAAAAACATGTATGACATCAAAAGGACTAGTTGCATCTTACGCAATTGCTTACAGAATTGCTTACTGTAAATAGCCCAATTTGATGATGTGTTTGGAATGATGCTTGGAAAATCTTATGAAAATTTAGACAAATTAATTGGGAAACTATTTCATTACAAATAGATGAAACAACAAGCGTAGATCAATATTAGGATGTGTTATTTCCCAGCTAGTAAAGTGGTCCCATCTGCAATTTGAACACATTGCATGCTTCACAATCACTTAATATATGTGAAGAGCTACAGTTGTTAGAAGAATAATCAGCTTGATATAAAATGATCCATTAAGAGAAAGGCCCTTCATAAATTATATGACCACATGGGGACAAAATACAGGGTACTTATATGTTATTGTTAAACCATAAGCACACTTCACATTTTATAGGGTGTGCACCCAGGAATTTTAAAAATGTCTAAGGCAAATATTTATTGAATACTCAATAGTAAAGATTATTTTTATTTTTCAAATATATTAAAGAATCTAAAACTTAAAAAATATTTTAAAGTTAACAACTAAACCAAGATATGGAACAAACCAGGCACATTTGTGGGAGTGTTGCAGAAATACATTTAAATGTAATTTGGGAAATATCATGTAGTTTTCTAAGTCAACTTGTGGCCCACAGGGATCCTTATGTATATTTTAGTGGCCTTCCTTTCTACTTCAGTTGGACATCATTGAACTAAATTACTTTAAATGAGAGACAAAATGGGGGAGGAGGAGGGGGGGAGGCACATACCTAGTATACCTTACATGCATACCTGTTTTTGAATTATGTTGGCTTCTTAAAGGGTGTTTAAAAAAAGCCATTTTCCCTTTATTTTTAACGATAAAGATGAAGCGATTTCATTTTATAACATTTTCTTGGAACTGGTAGATCCTTCTGAAAAACTAGGATTGTAAATCAATGTAAAATCCTCAAATCTATGCTTTGATCCTGAAATTTAATGAATGATTGGATTTATGAAAAAGAGCATTGGATGATATATTTTTGTTTATCAAATTAAGAACCACTCCGCCTCAAATGAAATAAAGACTTAGATATTTTTTAAGGCAGCTAGATAGCCTAGTGGATAGAACACTGGGCTTGGAATCAGAAAAACTCTTCCTGAGTTCAAATTTGGCTTCAGACACTTACTAGCCGTGTGACCTTGGGAAAATCTCTTTAACCCTCATCTGTAAAATGAGCTGGAGAAGGAAATAGCAAAGCACTCCAATTTCTTTGCCAGGAAGACCCCAAATGAGATCGTGAAGAATGGGACATGATTGAACCAACAACAAACAACAAAAACCTGTTTCTTTTGAAAAGAAATATGATTGGATAAGAAACCTGTTTGCCATGGAGAAATACAGTAGTTTCATCTCACTCCATCTAAATAAGAAAAGTTTAATAGACTTGTCTTGTGATTGTACAAGTCTATTAAAGTCTATTGTGACTGGGTGAAAAAAAAAATTCTGGTTTACTGAACCAAAAATGATACCGAGTTTCCTATTCATAATTTCATTTTCGTGTGAAATGGGATTTTTTCTTTTTTACTAGAGCTGCCATAAAGACAAAATATCTCCATTAGTGTTATCTAAATTAAATAAAGAATTTATGGCAGTGTTATCAGTGACATGAGAAATTTTGTGTCAAAAATATCTCAAGCCCACCCATCACTTTAATAACTTTTATGGTTATTTTATTATAGATATGAAAATTAGAGGATTAGGGACTGGAACTTTTGATTCCATTGACAGGGAACTCCTAGATGAATAAACTTCCTTGACTAGTGCAGGTCAGCAATTTCTTTGCAACTTACAGCCTTACAGTTGCCCAGGGCACAGAGTGGGAGGTTAAGAGACTTGCCCTAGGGTCACTGTATGGGCCAGTATGCATAGGAAATGAGATCTGAACCCAGGTCTGCTTTGCTCTGAGACTATTTCACTATTCATTGTTCTATAATGCCTGTCATGCAAATGAGAAGATTTTATCTATTTGTGTATGTTAAAAGTAATATTACTATATTAAATATCATATTATGGCATGATACTATATTATTAAATAATATATTACATAATGTTAAAAAGTAACATTAATATATATTAAAGATTTGTAATAAAAAATTACACATTTTGAATTTTTAAAGAAAATTATTTGCATAGATTATTTTACTAAAGGTGTGTGAAAGTGAGTGTTTTTGTTTAAAAAAGAAGGCATGTGGTGGAAGGAAAGTGTCACCATACAACATTTGGAAACTACTGCCAAGGGCAGTTTACCACTTAGCCTTCTAAACGAATCATACTTTTAGTTAGTTTATTTCCTCTGACTTGGGCTCTTTGTATAGTCCAATATTTTATTCTAAATGTCAAGTTCACTTAGTAAGCATCCTGGGCATGTACTAATGGCAGTGCACCAACTTTTTTCTCTGCTTCTTTTCCTACAGGTCATTGTTAATTGGAGAAAGGCTGACTTATCACCTCGAGAGTTGGCGATGCTAGAATTTGCTCTTGCTGTTAGTCGTGCTGAAGACATAACAGAAGAACATTTTAAAAAGCTGGAATTGCAGGGTTTTGATCGAGAAGATGCCTGGGACATAGCTTCTATTTCTGCTTTCTTTGGCATGTCTAACCGTATTTCTCATTTAATTGACCTGATGCCCAACAAAGAATTTTATTCACTGGGTAGAAAAAATGATCAAGATATGTAAGAGCATATCCACCGCAGAGGCACAATAAAATGTATATTTATTCGTGCCAGTTATGGAATACCTATTAGTAAGTTTTCCCTTAATATTTAGTTTATACACACAATGGGAAATAAAGTAATTTACTGTTCTACCTGGTAATACAGCTTTTGCTAAGTTCATTACACTTAATGGTAATAGTTGAAACTTGATGAAATTTAGTGCTTCTTGTAAGCATTGATAATTCAGAAGGCTTTGTACCCATACAGGAGGCTATCTTCAGTGTTTTTATTATGAAAAAGTTACCTTTGTTTCTAACTACCCCTCCCACTTTTCCCCTTTCTATAACATTCGCTTATTAAAAAATAACAGTCCAGCAACCAATACATTGACTGAGTCTGACAGTAAATACAACATTCCACATTTATAATCTCTAACCCCTTCTGTGAAGGGAGGGGAAGGTACATTTTCTGAATTCCTTTCTGGGGCTAAGCTTGGATTGATATTGCTGTCATAATGCATATTATCTTGCTGATTCTGCTGCCCTCATCAGTCTTCCTAGGTTTCTCTGAATTCTTTATTTTTTTGGTGGTGCAGTACTAGTATTCTATGTTCATGTACTACACTATATTGAGCCATTTCCTAATGATTGTGTTCGTACACTATTACTTTTAAAGGAGAATTTGTAGGAAAGGGAAGCAGAGATGAGACGGGGAAATTCTAAGAATTGATAACCAACTATATGAGATTAGCCATTTTATCTTAAACCCTTAGGATTTAAGACTTTGTCATTTTCCAACACCTTTTGCCATTAGATAAATGAAATGAAAAATGAAACATACTTTTCACAGTATAAACATGATTTGAAGCTAATGCTTTTCTGAAGTAGATTTAGGAACTTTCAAATGAAAGACATGTCAGTATGAGCAGACCCATTTTAACATTTTATAACATCTCCTGTGCCTTTTTTCTCTTAAACCTTTAAACAAATACCTGATAGAGAGGTGTAGTTAGTACCTTCTTTCTCAGTTGACCAACCTCTAGTGATTTTACTAATGGATTGTGAAATCAGTCATTTGAATAGGATTTTAATCCATAAATAACTATTCTACATTAGGTTTAAATGAGGGTGAGGGTTGTCTGAGAGGCATGAGAGCTCATATCATAGGCCAATAGGTACCCTCTTCCTGAAGTAAGCAGAAGAAATACAAAACTTAAAGCAATTTCTTGCATTCTTCCGAAATTTATTTTACAGGGGAATTGGTTCTATAAACTTCTACTGTTTCTAACTTACATTTGTATGGTTCTGTGACTTTTTAAAGTGATTTCATAGCTTTTATGTGGTTATAAGAATTATATACAGCCTACATAGTATTTTCTCTGTTCATGTCTTTTCTCAATATTTTCTGAATTTGTAAACAAATCATAATCAACTTTGAGAACTAAGACATATTAATGCTTGATTTAACTGTGAAAAGATTAATGAGTCTGTGAACAAAATATCAAATATGAGGGAATTGTTATGACTGTACCTCAAATACTGTACCTCATGAAATATAACCTTTTAAAGTAGGGTTAATTTAATTTCACAAATAAAGTTGATTAAATTGAATGTGTAATGTGGAAAGTTTTGTAGATAATTTCCAAATTTGCTGATTGAGTATAATGTGGAGTCGTTGATATATTCTGGCTTCTTGAAGAATTGGCAAAGCCAGGAATTTCTGGCCCTCAAGAAAATATTTCAGAAGGGATCCTCTTTCCTTTTGTTTGTTTTTTTTGTTTGTTTGTTTTGGTTTTAGGCAGTTGGGGTTAAATGACTTGCCCAGGGTCACACAGCCAGTAAGTGTCAAGTGTTTGGTCTGAGGCTAGATTTGAACTCAGGTCCTCCTGACTTCAGGGCCAGCACTCTATCCACTGCGCCACCTAGCTGCCCCCCAGATTCTCTTTCCTTTAAAAATTGTCTTTTAATTACAGTAATTTCTCCTTAAATTCCATCCCCTCCCATCCTCACCATGAACCCATCCTTGTGTGAGGGAAAGAATCCCACTCCACTCCATTTAATCACTGAAGGTCCAGATATGTTGACTAAGCCAATCAACCAAAAATAAATTACTTGTGACTAAGTCCTTAACCAATTATAAAAAATCACAGGGCTTTGAATGATAGGAGATGATGCAATATAGGAACTATCTTGTGCCTTGTTGAAAAGAATATGGTCCCCCATGTTCTGTGGGGCTAAAAGTCTAATGTCAATCAATTGAGTGGTGATTGAATTCAGTGGGGTAGGACTCCTGAGAATGAATTGCCCTTAGGGGAGCCCATTGACCAGGTAACAACCTTTCAATCTTTTGAAAGCTTAAATTCTGGAGTTCATTAGTATCAGTAGCAATGTCCATGGAGCACAATGACTGATGGCAGCATCTGCATTGGGAGTTTCTTTGACAAACACTGAAGGACAACCTTAGGCACCCTGAGGAAAGGCAACTTCAGAAGTCATGATTCCTTGGGGGCTGAGAGGAATTCAGGCTGTGGACTCTACAAAGGGAATGGCCCTTGGAGTCCAGAAGAGAGCTACACTTAAGGGGAACCTTATGAGATATCTATGGAAGAAGAAAAGGACTCCCTTTAACCAGGGCTTATGAGTTATCTTTCTGTCATACAAGTATCCCATTTCACTTTTAAGTCTGAGACCACTCAGAGTTGGGGGGAATAGTTTACCAACTGTCCTTCCTATTTACCAGCTATACCCTTTCTAAAAGTAATAAAATCTGGCAGATAATGAGGGAGCACACTGGTTGGGGCTTGTGAACAACAGGGCTCCCTCCTCCCTCGGACCCTGAAGGGAGTTTGGACCTAAACTGCTTATGTGGGTGGGAATTGGAGAACTAGCCCTGGAGGAAGGGTGCTACACGGGACAAAAAATTTAAGTAAAACCAACAGATATAACAGTATCTGAAAACAAGGCTACATTCCAAATCCATAGTTCTAAAGAGGAGGGAGGTGAGTTTTGCCATAAAATTCTGCAGGATTGATATTACTAATCATTAGAGTTCAGCTGCTTTTTAGTATTATTTATATGTTTGTAGTTATGCAAATTGTTTTCATTCACTCCATATCACTACATACAGGTCTTCCCAGGTTTCTTTCTCCTGTGGGTGGGTGGTTTTTGCAAACACCAAGTGCTACTATGAATATCTTGTATTAAGAAGCTTGCTTTCTTTCACTGACCACCTTGGACTCTACACCCATTAGTGGACTTGCTGGGTCAAAGAACCCTTAATGACTTCTCAGTTTCCAGAGCAGTTGGACCTATTTACACTACCCTGTGCTTGTCTTTCCACTTTGACTGCCCCTTGTCATTGACTGTTTCTATTTTTAATCCTCTTTGCCAACATGATAGATGAGATGAAACCTCAGAGTTGTTTTAATTTCCATTTCTATTCATTCCTAATGATTTAGGGCATTTTTTCCCAGTACTTTGCTTTTCTTTTGAAAACTACTTATCCTTTGAACAATTACCTATCCATCAGAGTAAATACAAAATGAGAAGCTCCATCCCTCCTGTTATATGCAGATACAACTTGAATCATATTCATACCTGTGGGGAGAGGAAAAAGAGAGGCATCTGGCAGGAGTTAATCTCATCCAATTCTAGTTTGCAACCCATTTCTTATTTCACTTTGTCAACACAGACCAGTCACATGAGCTGAATAACTGATCTTCCTCCAGTATCTACTGTATATAAATAGTGCTAATCTGCCTCCTCCTCCATTTCTAGTCTGAGTCCTCTGATTTTTCCTAGTGTCTTTCTCATTTGCCTTTTCCTTCCACCCTAGTCCAAACCTTATCTAACTCTAGACTCCCAAATGATATCCCAAGCTATTCTCATACTGCTGCCATAGTAATTTTCCTAAAGCACAGTGACCACAAGAGATAGCATGGTTTAATGGTTAAGAGAGTTGGCCTTGAAGTAAGGAAACCATGAGCTCTGAGTTCTGCCTTTGATTCATACTACCTGTGTGACCTTGGGCAAGTCTTTTAACCTTAGTGCGCTAGGCAAATCTCTGAGACTGCAATTTGCAGAGCAAATGCTGACCTGCTTTGGTAGAAGGAATTGTCTCTTGCAAGTTCCTTTTAGAACAGTGAAATAACTCCGGCCTTGGAGTCAGGAGGACCCGAGTTCAAATCGGGCCTCAGACACTTGACACTAGCTGTGTGACCCTGGGCAAGTAACTTAAACCTGATTGCCTCACCAAAAAAGAAAAAAAAACCATAACAAAAGACAGTGAAATAGTAGGTCGGGTCCCTGTCCCTATAGTGATCAGTAGTTCCTCACTGCCTACTGAACAAAATACAAATTGCTTAACCTGGTATTCAAGACTGTCTGTGATTTGACCTTTCCAGTTATCTCCTACTACTCCCCTACCCATATCCCATTCTCACATCAAACCAGACTACCTCCCATTCCTCAAAAATACCTGCACTCCTCTACCTTTATGCATTTGCAAACAATGTTTTCTTTGTCTAGAATGCCTTTCCTTTCTAGGCCCAGATCAAAAGCTACCATCTGCATGAAGCAAGCATTTCCCATTTCTCTCTTCTCTAGAATTGATAGCTAATGGACACTGGGAAAAACCTTGAGTTTTAGCTAGATGAGGAAACTGAGGAAGACAAGTTAAGTGAGCATCCCACCCTTTACTACTTTTTTGTTCTTGCACTACCCCCTATGTTAGGTTTCCTGGCTCAATCCAAGACTATGAGTTTCTTGGTAACAAGGATCATACCTTATAATTAATATATTTCCCTCACAAGGCCTGGTACAGTGCTGTGTATATACTAACTATATTATTCATTTTACGTGTTATTTCCTAGGAATGTATATAAGGCTTAAAATGAAGAAACCAAACCAAAACAAATACAGGGAAATGAAGTACCTAGGAAGCAAAATTGTGGCTTACATGATTTTCTTCAGGTTTCCTTCTATTCCCTTTTGAAGAATGTCCCTCACTACCACACAAAGTATCTCCCCCTCCCATAATACTTTCCCTCTTATCCTCTGGAGACTAAAGTTTCAAATACCTAACCTAATTAATTAAACTCGATTAGTGCCTAATGTACTAATAAAGGCTTGTAAGAGAAAATATTCATTTAATACTAAACTAAACAAATACCAGGATCTTTCTTCATATTCCCAGTGCTTAGCATAGTGTCAGGCAAATAGGAGGCACCTAATAAATGCTAGTAAGCTGACCAACATTTCCATATCCATGGCATAACAGAAAGGGGATTGTACATGAACCTGTAACTCTATTACACACAGCTTTCTTTTTAAAAAATATAATATGAAAATTTAATATGTGACTTACAAAGCTGTCCTACTTGTCTGTGATTATTTCTGGCCTTCTGTTC